AAAAAAAAAAAAAAAAAAACAAATATTTGGCCGAAAGTCAGGTTTAGCCTGCGGCCATAGCAACAAGCATTGTTGGGTGTAAAAAAAAACTGGTTTTGGTGTTTTTGGACCAAGGTCTGCTGAAATATTTTCCTTGACAATGGTCACCTACATTTTTTCATACAGACAGTTGTCCTTTTCAGACAATTAGAATACATCGCCAGTGTCACAGTTTACCTTGTGATTATCATGACACATATGAAAACCCATCAAGTCGTGATACTGCTCATCTTTCAAGGTATTAAAATAACCGAATATTATTTAAAAAAAAACAACTTTACTAGTCATTTGCAGATTCTGTGAATACTCGCTGTTTTTCGTTTAGCAGAAATGCATATAATCCATTTGTCTCAGAAAACATACCTGCAGGACCGAAGAGCGTCCATTAGCAAGCCTGTACAATGGCAACGGCTTTCAAGTAAATTTTCTTGATAGTCTGTAGCGATATATACATATTTTGTTTCAAGTAATTCAACCATATATATATGGTTGTAGCCTGTACAATATATATATATATATATATATATATATATATATATATATATATATATATATATATATCGCTACAGACTATCAAGAAAATTTACTTGAAAGCCGTTGCCATTGTACAGGCTACAACCATATATATATGGTTGAATTACTTGAAACAAAATTTTCTCTATATTTGGTTGAATGTACGAAATAGTTTCAACAAATGGAGAGTGTCTATTCTCACACCTTCACTATCCATCTCTCAAAATTCTAAAGGCGGTTGTTAAAAGTGTGCTATCAGGCAACCATCTCCTTTATTAATCAGTATTTGGTATTTAAAGGTTAATTGGATTCCTGATCAAGCTTAAACTAAACATATTACAGAGGAAGCATTCCACTCCACCGGAAACACTGTCAGGGGAGGATTCAGATATATTTTCTGAGAGTCTTCCAAATTATTCTTATTGTTCCATCTAAGATTTTTGACCTTCTTGCAACAGCAAAAAAAGTTAGATGCCCGTTAATATAAATTTGGAAAAAATCTGACCCAGAAGACAGTTTCCGTCCGCCCCTGGCTGAGATACATTCCACTGGCTATTTAGCAACGATCGGTGTACGCAGTGGATAAGATCACCAACAAGTTACAGAATTGCACTGATTACAATATTTCTCAGTTAACATAGAAATTACTTCGTTTTTCCTCGTTGATGTCAGCTCAGGAAATGCAAACTCTCCTCACTACTGATTATAATATACTGCAAGTACCGGTACATCAGTGTAGTTTTATATTTGACCTAGAAAATGTCCATACAGGTCGGGACTTCCATAAACACTCATGCAGCTTGACAAATATAAGTGTTGGGTAAAGCAGTAAAGGCAACTCTTGCAAACTTTTTTTTGTCTTTTTTATTACAATGATTCCCAACGAATTGACCCAATTGTTGCGATGATTATTTCTGATGAAATTCAGTCTCTCTCTCTCTCTCTCTCTCACACACATGTGTTATAGTCTGTCCACCACCTAAAATGCTGGATGTGGACGAATTTGTAACAGGTAACCTAAAACATTCAACCAGAGCCTATGAAGGTCTATAACCAGATTGCGACATTATATTTGAATTGCTCAGTTAAATCAAATTTATGATATCCTTTTTCCGTGGCAGCGATCTAGATGTCAGTTTTTTGTCCCTCCCTCTCTCTCTCTCTTTCTCTTCTATGTGCGTGTGTGTGTGTGTGTGCGCGTTATGGACTAACAGCCAAAACATTGCAACAAAGAGGCCTCTCTGTGATATTTTATTTGCATTACCCAGTTAATTTCAGGACGTAGGGATTAAAACGAATGGAAACCCGTATGACGCTTTGGATGATATTGAATTATCCAGAATAAGCAATGTGACTAAACAAGCATCGCTTTTCATATACGACTATATGCAAATCGATGATTGTTAAGTCGAATTGCTTATTCTGAACGCGAAATTGGACTTTGTCGTCAGGCAAGATTTAGTCCGAGTAAATAAAACTTTAAAAAATCCTTCTATCCTTGACATTGGTCCCTCTCTCTCTCTCTCTCTCGTTTGTGTGTGTGCTATGAATGACGAAGCAGCTAGGTTAGGGCGAGAAAGTGTTGGAATATCAGCCAAATTATTCAACCAAAACAGGCGAAGAAAAGGGCAAATACATGTTAGTAATATACAAACTTCCTCCTTACAATAAATAAATATTTATCTAGAAATTTAAACGTTGATATTTGGCATTGGCATCACTGTTTTCCTGGTGGAACGGATCGGAATTACCAATGTGATAAATTTGTAAATTAATATGATACTATAGCTCGGCTAGATACACTGTTTGCTGTACACGACAGACCCCGTTAAACGTTAGTTTTTTTTTTTTTTTTTTTTTTTTTTTTTTTGACACAGAAACTGGTTGGAACTTCAAAAAATTAGAGATTTTCCTGCAATCACTCTTCCTTCAATCACTCATAAAATTGGCCTTTTATTACAGCTGGTTATGAGTCTGTTGTGGCCAATGCGGGAGTTAGGCAGTGTGGTACGTATTTGTTATTGAAATATTAAAAACATGAAAAATAATCCAGTGACCGTAGTGCGTTGTCAACTTTCATTTCTATTCGTACTTTAACCAAATACGACAAGGTTTTATGTTTAGAATCATAAACAGCAAAACAAATGAGATGAGAAAATGGAAAAAGAACCAAATGCAATGCCCAAAATATCTATTTTCAATTGATATACTTAATTCATACATAATTTTCAATGAATGTCCAAATTGATATTTTTAATAAACATGGGTGTTAATTTAATCAAATAACTGTGTATCCTCTCCTGCGATTTCTGTTATTTCATTTTCTGGTTGTTTATTCCGCCGATTCTGAAAGAAAAGAAATATATTTTATGGACACATTGACCCCGTTTTTACTAGAGCACATTGCGCAGTCAGTAATATACAAACACATTTATAAAGTAGTAAATGAATATTTTCAAACACAAGCCTAGAAAACTACCGGAAGCTTCCGGCCAACCTGGATGAAGGCCTTTATCAGAATGACTTGAGCAGATGTTGATACTCAGTGACCAATATGTGGCCACGGCCCTCTTATAAATGTCAGGTAGATCGTCCTTCCCGACCCTATTCATGGGTGGCTGGTGACGGCTGATGTTGATAACCTCTCGTATCTAACGTAGGATATCAGATGACTTGGATTCAAGGATCTTAGTTGAATTTCAGACAATACTGTGACTGGTGTTTATTACACGTTTAGAAATGGCAGATCTGGTATTGCCAATATACAGTCATTGGTTTTCTGTGTTCATTCACCCTCCCAGCAGGCATAGTGACGTTGGATCAACGTTGAAAACAGGTAGATACGTTGAATTGCCGTTGATTTACCTAAATTCAACGTAAAATCAATGTTGCTCCAGCCATGTCAAAACACCGTTTTTTCATTTATCCGTATTATTGCCTAAAGATAGGACTTTCAAATGGCCGGACTTGTATTACCGTCATAGGAATGAAATAGGAATGAAAGTCCGACAGTAATACAAGTCCTACCTACTCTAATTCTGAGCCAGGAACCTAAGTCCCTGCAGGACTATTATTCCCTAGTAATGTTAGTCCTACGGACAACCATTACCAGGAACCGAGGTCCGTAGGGGGGTTTTGATTACTGTTACACCGGTCAAGGTAAGACGGCTATTTGATTTCGCGATTTTATCAGGCTTATCATGACGTTAAATGGTTATCGGTGACAAAACAACATTGCACTTGACAAAATTGATTGCTTGTTGTGCCCGCACCTTTTAGACAAAAGACGTCGCTTCTGATTCTCAATTCCTTTTACACTGTAATTTTTGCCATCCCCTCTTGTAGCACAAGAGTGAGATAATTTTGGTATTGATAGACTTTAATATTGTTTAATGAATCATGTGCATGGTGACTTTGGAATTTCATAGTGGATTGTGTGGCGGCATGTCCCTGGGAGTTGGATGATAACAAATTATTTTTAACTTTAAATTTCAGCTAACTCCCCCTTGACCATAAGCGTGAGGAAGTTTAAGCCTTGGGGATATTTAGACCTGAGTTTCGCACATGAGGATTTTAGTACAGCTGGAATTTGATTTGTCAGTGAGGGTGGCGATTCTTAATTATATTTACATTGTGTTTTTGACAGCTTAAATTGTGTGCATAGGCATCCCTGCACAGAAATTTACTGCAGCATGGGGTTGGGCTGTCCCTGGGTGCGGTTGATCCTTCTTGTAATACCTTGTGTTTTCCTTCGTCTCCTAGACTAACAGGCTGAGAAATTTCAAACATTGGTAATTAGAATATCTTTTATCAAGCATGTACATGAGCATTACGGGGTTTTAGTAACACTTGGGATTGGACTGTCACCGGGGGTGATTGATATTATTGTTTTTTTTTTTCTTTTTCTGCGTCGTAATTTTTGCTTTTTCTTCCTGGATCATTAGAGTGAGAAAGATTTAACTTTAGGAATTTGGTAGACTTATCACTAGGGGTGTGCATGAGCCCTTGGTTTTTTTTTTTTTTTTTTTTTTTTTTTTTTTGTGAAACAGTAGATTGGGCTGTCCTCGAGGGGGGGGAGTCGATTCTAAGTTATTTCAGGCCCCCGTTTCACAAATAATCTTAAATCCGTAGTTGACTAGCTCGAACTGAATGGCCTAGCTGGGTCGACTACGCTGCAGTCTACTAGGAGTGTTTCACAAAGAATCTAAAGTCGTAGCTTGGTGTGCTTACCGTAGTCGACGCGCACGAGAAACTCTTCAAGAAAAGGAGGTTTAAAATTTCAAAAGTTTCACAAGACATGACATTTTATGGCCTCTTTCGGCCGAGAACGATCGTTTATCAACAATAAAAATCAGCCAAAACACAAACAAAGTTTGTTTTGAACTTTATTGATTAGTTTTACTAATCAGTTAAACATTAGCTTGTCGTGGAACACTGCTGAAGGATGTCTAGTGGTCAAAAACATAATCAAACACGCCATCGGCTGGGTGAAGTGGCATTTTATTTTTAATTTCAATATTCCATAAATTTCAGTGCTATTCAAGGATATCATAACACAATATCGTGAAGGAGGTATGTTCTTTCCAAATTTTTGTTGTTTATGCTCTCATTTACCGAGTTTTAGTTGAGCTTGCCGACTTAAGGCTCCTCCCGAGGAGGCTAGACATCGTCGACTAGCAGCTAAGAAAAAAACGACGTAAGCGACCTTTTAGATTCTTTGTGAAACGGGACTTAGTGACGTAACGACTTAATTACGTTGGTAACCAAGCTCTTAGTCAGGGAAACCGACTTAAGTTTTTTTGTGAAACGGTTGCCAGGTTATGATTTCAGCTAACTTCTGCTATACCAAAATAACTGTTCAATCAGAAGAGTCGACTAACTATAGTCTAGGCGTCAAATAACGCGACCGTCCAATCCACTAATAGACACTGAGTAGATTAAGGGGAAATATTTAAGTGGGTCGGCCACATTTGACCGGCATACTTGTTAGTCCACTGTTCTGAATACGGCCCTAGACTTACCAGTGCAGTTGATTCCATCCCCGCTGTAACCCTCGTTGCAAACACAACCTTCATGATTTAATGCATTGCAGCTGTCATTTTTCCCAGGCAATGGAATTTTATGCGGCTTGTATTGGCAGTGGGCGTTTTCCCCACATTGTGCTGAAAACAAATAAAAAAATGTACCTTGACACTTGCCTGCAAAAATAAAAAATTAAACTTTTAAACCACCTTAATGGACGTCATTTCATGACGCATTTTCATAACGTCCACCTTATCACCTGAATATGTTAGTTGTATTGTAATTAACAAACAGAGATCTAGAGCCATATGGCTTAATATCAGTCTATAGAAGTTACTATTACTGGTTCTTGTTACTATCTTCTGGCATCAATTTTGCGCTGGTAAATTTGTTTTGTAATTTCTTTTGCTGCATGCTTCACAACTTAGTGCTATTAATTGTTATCCTTAAATACTCAGATACAGAATGCATGCAGTATTAGAAAGGCACGGTTTACCTATTTCGCACATTTTTCCATTACAACCCTCGGGACAAATACACAACTGTTTCGAATTTGTGGTATTTGTTGCACACGTTGCACCATTGAAGCAGTAACCCCATTTGCAATTACCTGAAATGAGGATATTACAATTAAGGTTTATAAAATGCTACGCATGCTATTTCAGTTTAGATATTTCAGTTTTTATATTTTAAGCATTGCACAGGTTACTAATCAGGGTAACTGATATTTATGGAATTCATTTTGTACAAAATGTCAAATGAAACATATATGTTGCCATCAATCGTTGCAAAAGTAAACTTGTTTTCTAATATTTTGCTATACATAACTACTCCCTGTTATCGACAAAGGAGGCTAGTAAACGTCACAAGGGCATTGCTTACGCAATTCGCATCTCTCTCCGAAATGCTTATCAAAGCAAATGCAATGAAAGCCAGACTGATCGTCAGGTTTATCGTCACAAAACCCACCATTATAGCAACTGTTAGACTCGCATCCGACTGAAAGTAGATGTTATAAGGCAATTTAAATATCAGGCATGCTCTAATATTTCACACATATAGTTTAATTACTTTTTGAAATTCAAACAATTTGAATAGATAAATCATGCATATCTTATCGTTTTTACACTATAACGCCTTGAACGCCTGGACCACGTCTAAATGATTTACAGGTATAAACTGTCCACACCATGGCCTGGTCATACCAAAAGCCATTATAATAATAATATCGGCTGTCTCCTCGCTTAGCACTCAGTATATTAAGATTGAAGTAAGGAAAATACCTAGTCATATGGCAGTGATGGTTATTGTGGATTCTTAACTACAAGAGGCGGATATACCGCAGCTTGGATTGCATTCTCCGCAGGAAGGTGGGAATGACTTAGAATTGAAAAGATCCATAAAAACAGGCATATGATTGTTGCAAACAAGCAATGTTGAGACCAAAATGCTGAAACGAAAATTGACATTGTATCTCAGAATTGCAAACATGCTACTGTACATGAACTCTCTTACGAAAATTTAGGATTTCCTATAGGATTTCCTATATAATTTCCTATAGGAAATTGTCCCATTTTCCTATAGGATCCTATAGGAAATCTTATAGAACCCTATAAGGAAATCTTATAATATCCTATAGGAAATCTTATGGGAAGGTGCCCTATAGGATCCTATAGGAAAGTTCCGTAAGGGCTTGGATGTCAAGCTGGTATCTATACACTTACATGTTAGACTCAGATGAGTTTGACTGAGAAAGACGCACGCTATCAAGGCCAGTACAAGACTCGGGCAGAACAACAATCCCATCATTGATTGGTTGATGTTCGATATAGTACTCTTTTATAGCACTTCTATACTGGAATAGAATACGATATTCAGATTTCAACATCATCATACAGGTGACAATATTTAAACTAAATCGGGCTCGCTTTCTTGAAAATATCACAGATTACGAGGCACGTAAACAATGCGATATGACAATATATTATCTTTTTTCAGGTGCATTGCAATTTGCAACCGAATGCTCATGGCAACATCGTAGTTAACTGTGCGTGTGCGTGGTTCATCATTTTTACAGAGCGTCCAATGTAATTTAACATAGTATCAAGTGCTGGTTACGATAACATCCTGCTCAGCTTGGTAGCTTATATAAGATATGGTATCATTCTGTAAACCCGACAGAAAAGATGAAACTTAAACTCTGCCGTGGGATCTCAAGGCTTTTCGATCAGAATCTTTTTGTTTGCTGTAAATTTTCACGTGAAGAATACTTTGTTCATGGAATACTATTTAATAATAATAAGAAGAAGAAGAAGAAAAAGACAAAAAATACACTGATGCACATTTTATAAAATCATGTTTTATCATATTATGCTTAACATTTTTCAACATTAAACATTTCAAAAAATAGCTAAGTCAATTGATCTGTGCAGTATATCGATAATAATAATAAGATTTACCTTTTCACTTTTTACACAAAATTGAAGCTAAACCTCACTCAGCATTCAGTTACACCGTTATCCCCCTCAGCGTGTTTTATCTTATGAGGCTGAGTACTACTCATCAATGTATCAGCAATAGCATCAGTCTCATGATAACAAGCATCGCGCATTGAATGGTGGGATTATAAAATATGTAACAACATAGATATATTACAAATAATATGATTTTGGAATTTTAGTGGTGTCAAACGCATAAAATGTCAATATTTGTAATTTTGATATCCCAAGAATGAAAGTACCTGTAATATATTGATTAGCTACACAATCAAATATAACTACATTATGTGTAATTGTGTAATGTCTTTTTCATTTTATGGCACGACTCAACTTTTGTCTAGTTTGAAGCTATAATTATACTTCCGTCTACGTAAATATTGCGTTGTGATTGCATAGATGTCAAGAAAGGAAGTGGAATTCATTGACATCGCAAATACTTGATTGCTATATTTGCAAGCAACAAACAAACAAACAATAAATAGGTCAATAAATAGGTAAATAAATAAATAAACTTTCATTAATAATCCAATGAAAACTGAAAGAAGGATGCCCCCCTTCATAAGGAAATAAATAAGCTGAAGTAAAAATAATGCTATGACACTGCTATTTGTGAAGCGTTTGTCTCTATAATAAATGGAAATAAAGTTAAAACATAATTATATAATAATAATTGATGACCGTACAATTGTAAACTGTTTTAGATAGTGCTCATATACAGAGCATATCTGTTCTCCTACTGACAGCACTAAAAAAATAAAAAATAAATAAAATAAATAAATAAATAAATAATAATAATAATAATAATAATAATAATAATAATAATCGCCCCTGTTTTAATGAAGTTGCACTTTTAACGTTTGCACATGCAGCATTTTATTAACTTGCACCCTTTTATTCAAATGAGCTTGTTTCACATTATACATCAGCAAGAAATCTTAGATCAGGTGAGTACCTTCTTTTTAAGGCGTGTAAGGCAAGATTGCATGGTGTCATACGGTGACAAGGCTTTTAAAATTACAGCACCTAGAGAATGGAATAATTTACCCATCAACCATAGACAAATTGTAGACCCTGGACATTTTAAAAAGGAACTTAAAACCTACCTTTTTATGCAATATTATTTTTGAATTCTTGTAAGAATTGTTTCTTAGTTCATAGTTTTAATTTTCACCTCTAAACCATTTTATATATCTATTTTATAACTTTAACAATTTTTCTTCTATCATTTTCCTTCTTTCATTTTATGACCATTAGTATCTTTTTTTCTTTTAATTGTGAATTTTATATATTCTGTAAAGTCTATTGAACATATGTTGGAGTTAAGACTATAAATAAATATTATTATTATTTATTTTTCCAGATACCAAAAATAACAAGACATATGGTTGTCAAAATACAAAGTACCTGTGAAGATACCAATATTTCACACCATTTTTACAAATTTAAAACATCAACCTCCTCAAAACTACCCTCATGACCAATAACATATTAAATTTTTTAATTGATTTGAGTCAGGCACTATAAAATATATACGAAAATTGGAAATATTGAGAAATTTCAATCTGGCCTCCTAAATGGATAAATGAACATAGTTGATAAAACGATAGAGGATTTGCTCTTCTTGCTATGAATAATCAAATCTTATTTTGATCCACGTATTAGGAATCTAAAACTTTACAAAGCACCACTTCTGGAACTCTTTCAGAAATAAAAAAAAAATGTTAACTTTAACAACATTTCGATCATTTAATTAAAAATTCTGAAAGTACGGCAAAAAAGTTAAAACTACGTTCTATATGAATCAGATTTTGAAAATAATGTATTTGGTTTAATGTTTTAAGAGTAAGGCTTCAATACCTACCAATTACAAGGTTTTCAACTCTCCCGATTTAAAAATAAATTGGCCAAAAATCAGGTTCTACCTGTAACTATAGCAACAAGCATTCTTGGGTGTAAATAAAGCTTCTTTTTTTATTGGTGCTTTTGGACCAAGGTCTGCTACAGGACAAAAAGTATGAATATCTTTTCCTTTACCTTAGCCACATCTATTTGTTTCTTACAGATAACTGCCCTTTTAAAACTATTAGAATGCATCGCCAGTGTCACAGTGTACTTTGTGATAATCGTGACTCATATGGGGACCCATCAAGTCAAGACTGTGTTCATCTTAATAACCAAATATTGTTAAAACCAACTTTGCAACTCATTCGCAGGTTCTGTAAATACCCGTTGTTTTATGTTTAGCAGAAATGAGTATAATCCATTTTTCTCGGAAAACATATCTGCAGGATCGACGAGCGTCCATTAGCACGCCCGTAGAATGTCATTTAATTTCAAATCATTGGAATGAATTCAAAGAATTGGTCAAAATGTTAATTTTAACAACACTTCGCATACAAGCGACAAATGAGACATCAAACATCTAATAATGCAAAAAGTACCACAAAAAGTTAAAACTACGGTTTATCTGAATCGGCTTTCTAAAATAAACTACTTGGTTTAATGTCTTTAATTAGGCTTCGAAACCTAACAATTGTAAGATTTTCACAATATTGGCCAAAAATTAGCTATGTAACCATAGCAATAAAACTGGTTTTGGTGCTTTTGGACCAAGTTCTGACACAGGACAAAAAGGAAGAAATGCAGAAATGCATAAAATCCATTTATCTTGGAGAACATAAATTTCAAATCAATTTGCCTGATAGTCTGTAGCGATAAACGTATAATGAAGTCACTTGAAATAAAATTTGCACTTTCTTTGTTTGAAATAGTTTCAACAAATGGAAAATGACACTATTCCTTTCTTAGAATTCAAAAGGCGGTTGTTCAAAGTTTGAACCAAGGTAATCGTCTCCTGTTTTAATCACTCTTTGTTCGTATTTAGGTTCATTGGATTCCTGGTCAAACATGAACAACACATATTTGAGAGGAAGCACCTCCAGAACCACAGAGAGAGTTGTCACTGCTTAGTTGCCAACAATTGGTGTGTGCAGGGGATCACCATAAGTTTGCAGAATTGCACCGATCAGAACATTTCACAATTAACATAAAACTTACCTCCTTTTTTACTCGTCGAAGTCGGGTCAGGAAATGCAACGTCTCCTCACTTCCTGGTTATAATATACAGCCAGCACCGGGACATCAGTGTATCTCGTGAATTAAGTGGCACATGAGAAACTATCCAATCACGATAGTGCTTATTTGACTATAGGATGCCCAGTTTATTATGACACGCCATTTGTCGGTCTTTCATTGGCTTCTTTCGTTCAGCATGAAACGTGTACTTTATATTTGACCTAGAAAATATTCATACAGGTTGTGACTTCCATTAACACTCCCGTAGCTTGGCAAATATTAGTATTCAGGTAAAGCGGTAAAGGAGACTCTAGCCAACCATTTGTTTGTCTTTTTCATTATTATGTTGCCCGTCGAATTGACCCTTTTTCATTATTATGTTGCCCGTCGAATTGACCCAGTTCTTACGATAAAGATTTCTAATGAAATTCTCTCGTGTGTTTGTGACTGTGCGCCACAACAACTACTGGATTGGGGCAAAATAGTGAGAGATAGCCAAAAATATTCAACCAGAGTTCATTAAGGTCTATAACAGCATTGCAATATTATATGTATATTGCTCAGTTAAATCAAATATTTGATATCCTTCTATCCGTGGCAGCCATTGATCAGTTTTTTTACCCCCCTCTTTGCTAGCTTAACTCTCTTAGTCATGTGTGTGTAAAGTGTGTGTGTGCGTGCGTGTGTATGTGTGTATCTGTGTGTGTGACACAGTGATGGAATAACAGCCAAAATAATCAAAACATTAAACTAAAGAAGGCATCTCATACCAGTTAGCTATTTTATTTTATTTGCGTCACCCAGTTGATTTCAGTGCTACTTTAATACAGGCCGTCGGAATTAAAAATAATGGAAACCCGTATGACGCTTTGGATGATATGAAAAAATTACAATTGCTTGTTAAGCTGCATTGTTTATACTGGATGCGAATTTGGACTTTGTCATCAAACACGATTTAATCTGAGTAAATAAACAAATCCTTCTATCCGTGACATTGGTCTCTCTCTCCCTCTCTCTCCCTCTTTCTCGCTCGTAAGCGTGAGCTATTTTATTCGCATAACCCAGTTATTTTAAGTGCTACTTTGATAAAGGACGTCAAAGTCAAACATAAAGGAAACCCCATGACGCGTTGGATAATATGTACTTTCTTCCAGTATATGACTAAAAAAAGCGATTTTCTTGTTAACGACCTCTGATATACCATACTGTTTACGACTATGTCTTTCTACGAACCAAATCAAAACAATATGTTCACTTTTACATTTGCCAAAATGAC